AGGTGTTTAGAGTTACGTCGTTGATTCAGATGGTTAGGTTAATAGCTGGTTTAGAGAACCTTTTCATGATATGCTCATTTTTTGAGACAGGCATTTTGGGTTTTCATGAGCTGTATGCCATAATCATCAGTATTAAAACAATTAAAGACCTGAAATATTTCAGTTGGTGTGCAATGAATCTGAAATATATGACAGTTTCATTTTTATCATTACATTATGGAAAATAAACTTTATCACAATATGATAATTTTTTGAGAAGAACCTGTATGTATGTGTGTGTGTGTGTGTGTGTGTGTGTGTGTGTGTTTGCTCTTTTATCTACTTTTGCCTGAACCTAACACTGTAAGTGAAACAAGGCATTTCTTGAGTTGCTGTAAATTATGTTATAAAACATATTTACTGTCTCATTCCAGAAAACAACAACAAACAACAACATCCTTCATGATGGACAGACATCATGGACACCACAGCAGCAGCTGTCTTCACTGGAAACATCTTTAAATGATCATCTCTGACTTGAAGCCTCTGTCGATGGTTGAAGACAAAGGCTTCACTACAATAATCCACACTTTTAATCCGGGTTACAATAATCCACACTTTTAATCCAGGTTACAATAATCCACATTTTTAATCCAGGTTACAATAATCCACACTTTTAATCCAGGTTACACTCTTCCCTCAAGGACACATTTTACAAAGTAGCTACATATTGTGCAGGTATAAAGACACATTTCTATATATTTTTGTGTACATTTATTTTTTTAAGCTATTTGACTAACTTTTATTTTTTATTATTCAATATTTTACTAACAGAATAGTCAAATAGCAACCTGTTTTTTGTGCGAATTGCTATGTCAGTCAAATGTTCAATTTTGGAATAAAGGGGTGGAAATTAAAACGTTGTTGTTGTTTTTTTGCCGATTCATTGATTAATCGAAAAAAATTATTGGCCGAAGTATCGATTATTGAAATAATCGTTAGTTGCAGCCCTAATGCTCACGCCTGCCTGTACCAGTCAAAAATCGTGCAGCAGCATTTTGTATCAGCTGTAACCGTGAGAGCGAGGCCTGGCTAACTCCTATCAACAGAGAGTTACAATAATCCAGGCGTGAAGTAATAAAAGCGTGGATTACTGTCTCTAACAGGTGTCTAGAAAGGAGGGGCTTGATTTTTGACAGGTGCCTCAGCTGAAAGAAAGGACTTAACCACGTTGTTGACATGGCAGTCAAGTTTCAGGCAGGAGTCCATTTTCACTCCTAAATTTGTTACAATGGATTTTTCATATGGGGCCAAAGAGGAAAAATCCAAGGTGGAGAAACTGCTAGAACCACAGGATTTAAAGACCATAACCTCAGTCTTTTTTCGTTAAAATGGAGGAAATTAAGTGCCATCCATCCATCCTCTGTCATCAAGACAGTCCAGGAGAGACTGAGTGGGGCCATTATGTTTCAAAGGGAAGTAGATTTGACAGTCATCCGCATATAAATTAAATTGCACACCATGCTTTCTGAAAATAGAACCCAGTGGCAGAAGATAAAAGAGAGAACAGGAGAGGACCAAGAATAGAGCCCTGGGGTACCCCCCAGGGGAGGGCTGCAGAAGCAGAGGTAAAATTTTCCATCATCACACTGAAACTTCTATCAGAAAGGTAGGACCTAAACCACTGCAGAGCTGAGCCAGTGATGCCCACCCACTGCTCCAGTCTGAAGATGAGAAGGTCGTGGTCGACTGTGTCGAAAGCAGCTGTTAAATCTAAAAGCACAAGTAAAACACAGTTTCCAGAATCCAGTGCTAAAAATGTCATTAAAAACCCTTAAAAGAGCAGATTCAGTGCTGTGGTACATTTTAAAACCAGACTGGAAGGCCTCCAAAATTTTAAATTAATCCAAAAATGCCTTCAGCTGCGTGTAAAACACTTTTTCTACAATGTTGGATATAAAGGGTAACTTGGAGATTGGCCTAAAGTTTGACAAAGAAGATGGATCAAGGCCAGGTTTTTTTCAACAATGGCTGCACCACAGCATGTCTAAAATTGCTTGGTACCACACTAGACATCAAAAAGCTGTTGATCACATTTATCAATCAACCTTTATTTAGACAGGTAAATCCCATTGAGCCTTGAGGACTCATTTACAAGAGAGACCTGATTTCAACAAAGAAAGATGACAACAATGGACAACAGCAACAACAATAAACAGTTATAAAAAGTCATACTAATATTTAAGATAAAGGAGCCAACAGTAGAAAATACCTCCTTAAGAAAATATGGAGGAACAACATCAAGGGGAGAACCCAATGATTTCAAACTGGTGACAAGTTTTTCTAGATAGATTGTGGTGTGACGTTGCACGTTCGTGGTGAGACATATTGTGTCATTTCCTATTTGTCGGTAGCTCGAGTGAATTGTTTGCTCGAGTCATCTCTGTTTTCTGGATTTTTCTGTCTCTTGCAGTTTTTTATTCTAGTTCACAAACACACTTAGTACAGTTGTTTTTCTACTGTTGGATAGTGCTTAAAACAGTTCTTATCTTTCAACACTTCTCAGTTTTTATTGGTGTATTTGGCTCTGCTAGCTCCTGCTAGCGTTAGCTTAGCATGGCTGCTGCTTCTCAACTCAACTCATCTTTCTCTCCCTGCTTCCTCTGTTTTCTCTTGCTCCGTGTGTCAGACGTTTAGTTACTCCTCTGCCTCCTTTAGTGGTAATGATACATGTAACAAATGTAGTCTTATGGTAGCTTTGGAGGAGAGGCTGTCTGAACTGGAAGCTCGGCTCCACGCTGTAGAAAAACCAGTAGCTAGCCAGGTCCCCTTAGACAGCGTGGAACCACAGAGGCTAGCTCCCGTTAGCGGTCCTCCAGCAGACCCCGAGCAGCCGGGACCCCAGGCCGGCTGGGTGACGGTCCGGAGCAAGCGTAGTGCTAAGGCTAAGCCCCCAGTTCACCACTGACCCGTTCATGTTTCTAATCCATTTTCATCGTTCAGTGACACACCCGCTGAGAAACAGACCCTGGTTATTGGAAGCTCCATAGTCCCAAACACGGCTTTAGGGACTCCAGCGGCCATAGTCAAATGCATTCCGGGGGCCAGAGTGGGCGACATAGAATCTTATCTGAAACTGCCGACTAAGGGTTAGGCTAAATACAGTAAGATTGTTATTCATGTCGGCGGTAATGACACCCGGTTACGCCAATCGGAGGTCACTAAAATTAATGTTGCTTCGGTGTGTGACTTTGCTAAAACCATGTGGGACTCCGTAGTTTTCTCTGGCCCCCTCCCCAACCTGACCAGCGATGACATGTTTAGCCGTATGTCGTGGTTTAACCGCTGGGTGTCCAGGTGGTGTTCTGACAACAATGTGGGCTACATAGATAACTGGAGTTCTTTCTGGGGAAAACCTGGTCTGATGTGGAGAGATGGCATCCATCCCACTTTGGACGGAGCCGCTCTTCTTTCTAGAAATATGGCTGATTTTGTTTATCCCCCAAATTGATGTCAACCCAGGGTCCAGTCCAGGAAGCAGAGTTGTAGTCCTCCACCCCTCTGCTGCTTCTCCTCTGTTACCCACCCACACCCACATTGAAACAGTGTCAACTCGCCCACGGCTCAAATTAAATAAACCAAAAATCAGCTCTAAAAATATAAACCATAAAAATCTGATTAAAATAAACACAGTTACTTTACCAGAGCAAAATCATCAAATCATTAAACCGAGTGTGACACGGCCGGGATGAGGATCAGTTCCTCTAAATCTGAGGCCATGGTCCTGAGTCGGAAAAGGGTAGAGTGCCCTCTCCGGGTTGGGGAGGAGGTCCTGCCCCAAGTGGAGGAGTTTAAGTATCTTGGGGTCTTGTTCACAAATGAGGGAAAAATGGAGCGTGAGATCGATAGCCGGATAGGCGTATCATCGGCAGTGAAGCGGGCGCTGTATCGGTCTGTCGTGGTGAAGAGAGAGCTGAGTCAAAAAGCGAAGCTCTCAATTTACCAGTCGATCTACCTTCCTACCCTCATCTATGGTCATGAGCTTTTGGTTTTGACCGAAAGAACGAGATCATGGATACAGGCAGCCGAAATTAGTTTTCTCCGCAGGGTGTCTGAGCTCTCCCTTAAAGATAGGGTGAGAAGCTTGGTCATCCGGGAGGGACTCAGAGTAGAGCCACTGCTTCTCCACATCGAGAGTAGCCAGTTGAGGTGGCTTGGGCATCTGGTTATGATGCCTCCTGGACGCCTCCCTGGTGATGTGTTGCGGGCACGTCCCACCGGTAGGAGACCCAGGACACGCTGGAGGGACAATGTTTCTCGGCTGGCCTGGGAACGCCTTGAGATTCCCCTGGATGAGCTGGCCCACGTGGCTGGGGAGAGGGAAGTCTGGGCCTCCCTACTTAGGCTGCTACCCCCGTGACCTGACCCCGGGTAAGCGGAAGAGAATGGATTGATGGATGGATGAAAATAAACTACTACTTATTACCTGTAATACTATTCCTACTTCGCAGTCTTTCACTTATCGTGAGGGGGCTGAAAACGGAAAACTCCTGCGATAAACAAGGGTTTACTATATATCTTAAGCTTTTAGGCAACATTCAGATATTTCTAGCTAGCATTTTGTTGTTTCAGCTTTTAGCTAACATTTTAGCACTTTTAGCTTTTAGCTAGTGTTTGTAACTTTTAGTTAGCAGTTTACTACATTTAAACTTTAGCATTTAGCTATTTTTTGGTTTTAACTGGCTGGTGGTACTTTTAACCTTTAGCTAGTTCATTGATACTTTAAGCTTTTTGGTAGCATTCAGTTATTCATAGCTAGCCGTTTGATATTATAAGTTTTTAGCTCATCTTATGGTACTTTTATCCTTTAGCTAGTTTTTGATACTTTTAGCTATCATCATTTATCATTTATCATTTAGCTGAATGAATAGATGGACTGTGATTCTGGTCCTAAGGCTGAGGCGTGTATTCAGTCTGCAGCTCAGCAGCTAAACACCATGTGTTGGTTCTCCAGCAGAAGAAACGGACCAGCTCGTGTTCCCCCTTCTGCCCAGCACCCACTTGACCCCCGTCAGCCTGCTGGCCCTGAAGCAGAGTCAGATAGAATCGGCCGTCAGTCTGCTGGAGTACTACTGCCACAAGAACTACTGGTCCCAACCCGAATACCAGCTGTTCTCCACACCGGGTCCGGATGGGAAGCTGCTGCTGCTCTACAAGGTCTGTACTGTAAACAACACAACAAACAATCTGCTGCTGTACAAGGTCTGTAATGTAAATAACACAGCAAACTGCTGCTCTACAAGGTCTGTAATGTAAACAAGAAACTAACAAACTGCTGCTCTACAAGGTCTGTAATGTAAACAACACAACAATCTGCTGCTCTATAAGGTCTGTACTGTAAACAACACATCAAACACTCTGCTGCTCTACAGGGTCTGTACTGTAAACAACACAACAAACACTAATCTGTTGCTCTACAAGTTATGTACTTTAAACAACACAACAAACAACAAATACTCTGCTGCTCTACAAGGTCTGTAATGTAAACAACACAACAAACAAACTGCTGCTCACAGATGTTTGTTTTCCTCATGTTGTTGGCGTCTACAGTGCGTCCTTGTTACGTGTTTTTAATAAAAATGAAAAATGAAAACAAAATAATTTGATTTTCATCCCACAGCAAGTCAGCCGTACATTTTTTGTTATTATTTTAGTCTTTTAGAAAAACATTTAGGTTTCTGTGAGCAAAAGACTAGCTAAAAGCATGAGAATAAGTCAAGGTCAAGGTTTCTTTGTCATTTTATTGAATAGCTTAAAATAGCAAGCAGCCAACTCATAACTAAAATAGTTAAATTAGCACAAAGGTGGCTAAAACAACAAAAGTTTAACTAAAAGAAGGAAAATTAGTTAAAAGCTGAAAATATCCTGATGCATGCTCAATAATCCAGGTAGAAAAATCTAAAAAAGTTCAATCTGGTCCTCTAGACATTCAAAAAAACAAAACAAGGCAAAACAAAAAAACGTAGATACGTTTCATCTTTCATCCAAAAGACTTCCTCAGTCTGAGGTGCTGTATTCAGCTCAGTGTCTTAGGCCCTATTTACACGGACACGATGGGGGGGAAACATAGGTTTTTTTGTATGTTAATTAGAGGATAAGATTTGCGTTGACACGGTCGGATTTTGTATTTACTTGCATCCAGAGGAATCCCCCCCGCCCTCCCGAATCTGCTGTAGTTACCATGCCAGGTCATTAGATGGCGCTGTGAATTTTGTACTTTCACCTAATGTGCATGCCTGCTGCCTCAGCACGCTTCTTTCCTGTGAGCTAAAAAGCTCTGCTAACAACATTATACCAACAAGTTAAAGCTGGATTCTGGCTGGATTTTGGATAAGAGTCGACAGATTTGACACCAAGCGGGACCGCTTCGTCTAACAGCTCCACACCGGTCGCTGAGTGGACCAGAACCGAGTCGACAATGTCGGACTTTACTCCGTGATCATCAGTAGCTGATTACTGCAGGTAAATCAAATGTTCTTAATGATGTTAGTTTGTGTTTACGTTGGTTACACAACAACCAACTGAGTTTTTATTTTTTCCTGGAAGAAGAAGAAGCTGTCCTCCCACCAGGCGGACCGGTTCTGAACGAGGCTCGGCTCAGGTGCAGTGCAGGAGGACGTCGAAGAGAGATGTTGATGAACTATTTGTTTAAAATTCCCCTCAGTTCTTTTATTCAATCCATTCAAGTTCAGATAACGTGTTTTAATAGTGTGTTCAGTTTAATTATCAGTGTTTGTGTGACATACAGTTTGTGATGTTGAATAAATAAATAAAAAATTAAACCTCATGTCTTCATTTTCAACTTAAGTGTTCACGCTACATGTTAAGCATCATTTAAAATTTGAATTACATCATGTCCAGATAGCTTCATTTAGCTCAGAGCTTCATTATCTCTCACACTAACATAACTACTGTTTATTATTATTAAACTTATTATTTAGCACATTTAAATGTTATAGTGCAGCACGACGTGTGCACGTGCCTCGTTCTATGAACAGCGACATTAGAACTGGATCTGACTGTGTCTCTTCCAACACAGATGTCGGTCACAGCACCTGGAATCTGACGTAGATTAACTACGAGATTAAAAATATATTCCATCAGTCGAGGTTCTGAAAGCGGTGTGTCCGCTGCCATGTTGATAGAAATATAGCGTCTGTCCGCGCGTGTGCGCATGTGGTTTAACACAAAGCCTCAGCGGGAGATGTTTACATTATCAGCGGGGGCTCAGAGAAAACCTCCACTCTGGAAGGTGGATTCAGAAACCTCTGGATTCAAAGAGGGGGGCCACTGGTGTCGTGTAAATGATCAGCAGAACCTCAGAGAGGAAGCTGCAGATGCACTCAAAATACGCGCATGTAAACGGCCCCTTAAACAGCACCTTCTCAGAGTGGATCAACCAGTTTGCTGCTGACAACCAGAACCAGCTGATCACATGGTCAAGAAGGGCCGTCAGCGTAACAATGGATCATTAGCACCTGATGGCTGTTTACTGTTCACAGAGGGCTGAGTGATACTAGCAATCACAGCATTGTAAGAGGGGGACAGTTGAACCCGGAGGCCTCCACCCCTGTTTAATGATGGACGGTTTCTTTTCACAAAGATGGCCTCCTTTACTCCTCTCTCAAACCATCGTTCCTCTCTGTCCAGGATGTGAACATCTTCATCCCTGAAAGAGTGACCGCTGGCCTGGAGATGAGTGTAGACCTCAGAGTCCTGGCCTGATGATGTTGATCTTCTGTGCTGGTCCATCCTTTTGGCCAGTGGCTGTTTTGTTTCCCCGATGTAAGACTGATCACCCTCCTGACACTGAACAACATACACAACATTACTCTGTTTGTGCCGGGGGACTGGATCTTTGGGATGAACCAGTCTTTAATGTATTTTGGGGTTTAAAAGCCACTGGGACGTTATGTTTAGAAAATAAACGTCTCAGTTTCTCTGATACTCCCTCAACATATGGAATGACCACTGGTCTGGGTCTGGGTTCCTCCTTTTCACCTGATGGCTGACTGGAGTCTTGTTTGGGTTTCTTCTCTGCTTTCAGGAAGGCCCAGTTAGGATATCCACATTGCTCTAGAGCCTGTCTTGTGTGGGATTTCTCCTTCTGCCTGGCTCCTGAGCTAGTGGGGACGCTGTCTGCTCTGTGGTACAGAGTCCTGATGACTCCTAACTTGTGCTCCAAAGGGTGATGGGAGTCAAACTGCAAATACTCGTCTGTGTGGGTGGGTTTGTGGTACACCTCAGTTTGCAAATGTCCTCTATCAGAGACTGAGACCTCACAGTCCAAGAAAGCCAACCTGCCATTTTTTACATCTTCTCGTGTGAACTTGATGTATTTATCCACAGAGTTGATGTGGTCAGTAAAATGTTGGACTTCCTGAGATTTGATTTTAACCCAGGTGTCGTCAACATACCTGAACCAATGACTTGGTGGTGTCCCTGAAAAGGACGTCAAGGCTCTCTTTTCTACCTCCTCCATGTACAGGTTGGCAACAATAGGAGAAACTGGAGACCCCATAGCACACCCATGTTTCTGCCTATAATATTGCTTCCCATATGTGAAGTAGGTTGACTGCAGGCACAGTTTCAAGAGTTGACACAGTTGTTCTGTGGAAAGCGTGGTCCTGCTGCTCAGAGTGGTGTCTGATTTTAATCTTAAACTGACCACCTCTACTGCATCATCAACAGGAATGCATGTAAAGAGTGATGTGACATCAAAAGAGACCATTGTTTCATCAGTCTCCATGATGACATCCCTCACCTTATCCACAAAGTCTGCACTCATCTCCAGGCCAGCGGTCACTCTTTCAGGGATGAAGATGTTCACGTCCTGGACAGAGAGGAACGATGGTTTGAGAGAGGAGTAAAGGAGGCCATCTTTGTGAAAAGAAATCATCCATCATTAAACAAGGTTGGAGTCCTCTGGGTTCATGTGCTGCGCTGCACGGGAGTTAAAAACTTATCAAACAATCAAACATTTAGGAGGAAGAGCAGGAAACAAAAAAAGAAAAATGAAGAACACCAAAAAGACAGAAAGTGGTAAACCAGGCGTAAGAAATTTTTTATTTTAAGTGAAAGAAAAAGTTTGACGAAGACTTCCGCCTTCCATCCTTGGCGTTGTCTCGCTGGATTTGCTCCAGTAGACTGGCTGGTGAGGGCTGCTAGGCTTCTCCGGCGGGCTGTGGGTGGACGCGGTGGACGACGCTGCGCTACTCCGGCGGGCTGTGGGTGGACGACGCGGACCACAGTTGGACCATCTTGTCGGGGACGTGAGCTCCGGTGAGAGCTGCTGCGCTTCTCCATCAGGCTGTGGGTGGGACGACGCGGGCTACCATTGGACCGGCTTTGTTGGGGTCGTGGCTCCGGTCTGTAGTTGTTGGATTTGTGTGCCTGCTGGAGCTGACCTTCCATGGCTGGTCCTGCGGACTGTTGGATCCGCTCACCGATCTGGTTATTGTAGCTGCTAGGTCGCAGCTACCAGCTAAAGGTTGGTGAACATCGTGATCAGCCTTCGACTTTCGTCTAGCAAACTGAAATCTTAACAACATTAGGACAGAAAATTGATGAAAAATGTCAAATAAACATGGACAAAGGAAGCAAGAATCACTGGTTGGGAATTCGGAAGATATGGAGGAGATTAAGAAATCATTAAACTTTGAGTGCTGAACTAACAAGGTTAGCATCTCAACAAGAACTCCTGGTTGGATTGATTAATGAAGTAAAACAATAAAAAATACAAATAACTAATAAAGACAATAAAATAGCTGAACTTGAAAAAAAAGTTGATGATCTGGAGCAAGACGCAAGACTAAATAATCTAGTGATAACTGGACTTGAAGTCAAGCGCCGGTCATATGCACAGGTTGCTGCGGGTGCTGACACAACAGGGGATGCACAGCAGGATGAGCTGCGGACTTTGGAGGAGCAAGTGGTGTCTTTCTTCCAAGATAAAGACATTGATGTGGACCATGAAGACATCTCTATCTTCACATCTTGCCCAGTAAAGTCGATAAATCCAAACCATCAATAATTATGAAGTTCATTAGTAGAAAAGCTAGAAATAAAGTAATAATGCAGGCAAAAAAATTGAAGGGAACAAAGGTATACATAAATGAACATCTAACAAAGAAAAATGGAAACATTGCACGTGAGGCAAGGTTGTTAAAAAAACAAAATAAAATAACATCAACATGGACAAGAAATGGAAATGTTTGGATCAAAGTGCGTGAAGGGTCTCAACCAAAAATAATAAAAGAACTGAAGGATTTGGAAAAACTTAGATGATTTTAAGATAAGATGAATTAAAATTCATTTAAATTTCATTTTGACAAAATGTACAGTCTGAAGAACAAGTACATTTAACCATGACAATATACAAAGACACAGAATCAAAAATATATAGCATTGAAGATGTGATTGATACAGATTTATTTCCAGTTATAAAAGATTGTAAATATTACAGTGAAGATCAGTTTAACGATATCAATATAACAAATGGAGGTCTTTCTATCATTCACTTTAACAGTAGAAGTATAAATGCAAATATATCCAAAATAATAGACTATTTAAAATAATTAAACAGAACATTTGATATAATAGCACTGTCAGAGACATGGCTCAACGATGTAAATACAAGTATTAATTTTGATGGGTATGAATTATATCATACGAACAGAAAAAGTGGAAGGGGTGGTGGAGTCGCTCTATTTGTTAAGAATGAAGTAAAATGCAAATTGATTAGTGAAATGTCAATAATTGTTGATAATGTAATGGAAATGGTAACAATAGAAATAATAAGCAAGAATGATTAAAAACATCATAGTAAGTTGTGCATACAGATCACCAAGCTCAAAGATAGAAATATTTACTGATAAAATCATGGAGCTATTTGAAAAGAACTTCAACAAAAAAACACTTTTGTGTGGAGACTTTAACATTGATCTAGGAAATTCCTTGGATGCAAATAACACCAGTACATTCATAAACTCAATGTATAGTTTAAATCTTTATCCGTTAATATCCAAACCCACAAGAATTATAACTCACAGTGCCACAATAATTGATAACATTTTCACAAATATAACAAATGGGGATGTGATAGGTGGTATCCTTATTACTGACCTAAGTGATCACTTACCAATCTTTACAATCTACAAAAATGATCAAAATACCATAAAAGCAGAAAATAAAAAGACCAAAATAATAAACACATCTAAAAAAGCATTAGATAGATTAAAAGAGGACTTAGATAAACAAACTTGGG